GATTTTACTGCCTCTTATTTTTTATAATGAGGAACTTTCATAGATCAGAACTGGTAGAAAAGTAGATCTAAGCCTGGAAGTCTATGATCATAAATCACAACCATAAAACAGCAAGACAATGTATAACTGTACTTACAATAACTATCTGATGATATAAACTAAAGGTCACCAATTAGTTCTAAAAACATCTTTAGATGAAGCTTGTTGATCCTGGAGAACCACTGAACCAGATTAGCTCCTTATAAGGAGTTTTCAGTCTGTTTCCTCCTGCAGCTGCAGCCACTGGTCTGTCTGACTGTTGATTAGTTTGGTTTATGTTACATTTCTGCTCCTCATCTTTAGTGAAAGAAACACGTCCACCACACACCAAACATTTATCACAATGATGAGCCTGATTCAGATCAAATGATTAACTCGCTCACCATCACACAGGGCAGCTGACACCTGTTCTTATAACGAACTTCCTCGTCTGTTTCGCTAACACCTGTTTCTGTGTGTAGAGAATTAGGGACATTTCCGGGGACAGGCAGTCCAAACGGGGACTGTCCCCAGAAATCAGGGACGTCTAGTATAGTTACGATCCATTAAAATGATAGATTCAACATTAGCATCACCTGCACAACCATAGCCAATATCAAAATGGCTGTTTTATCAATCTGCGTTCTCGTGAAACGTCATCAGCCTCAGCCCCACTTCTGTTCCAATTCACTAGAACAGCAGACCGAGAACGGACAAAGTCCCCGGATGTTGTTCTGGCCCCTCCCTCTTTACCCAGCATGCATCAGAAAAGACTTGTCCGTTCACCAGACTGACAGCTGCAGCTGCCAGGGCTAATGTTAACCCGTCTTATATATGTCTTCGGTACTTGTTGATGGCATTAAAATGCTTCATATGAGCATTAAAAAGCATTAAATTAGTTACTCATTCCTGTTTAAACCCTGGTGAAGATTAGTTCCTTGTATTTCCTGCAGCTTTGTGTAGAAATAAAAACTGTACTTTAACAACATGAAGGTAAAAAATCAACCAATCTGACTCCAGGTTCTGATGGTGCGCTTCTCCTCGTTGTTCAACGTGGCGGAGCAGACGGTGACCTTTGTGTCTGGTGCCACCTACTCCTTGGAGGAGCTCCAGGCGATGGGGATGACTGACCTGCTGACGGCCATGTTTGATTTCAGCCACAAACTGGCTTCCCTGGAGCTGAACGCCGAGGAGCTGGGGCTGTTCACCGCCGTGGTTCTGGTGTCTGCAGGTAAAGAGCTGATGCCTGTCCGACCAACGCCAGGGTGTAACTTAGTGATGAAAGCTGGTGGGGGCGCTCTAAGGGTGGGGGCTGATGGACCTAGAGTTACTTCACCCAAATGCTTTAATTAGGTTTCTGTATTTTCCAAAATGAGCTCAAACATATATTCATTAAATGCTTTCTTATTGTTGAGAACACAATAGAACCACAGTACTCTGACATTTATTGTATTGTAGGCCCCTAATAAGGCACTGGGTCAGGTTTCTGCACACGGGCAAAGAGAAGGTTCAATGTCCAAACCTGTTGATTGTCCTGGATGGTTTATTTTCTATTTCAGCCAGAAATTAAGTTCAAACTTTTTCCTTTGCTCTGGTAAAAACCAGAGACCCCAAAACCCAAGATGGCTGCTGCTCCTTTCCCAGGCCCCTACGCTTATAGAAAGTGGACTGATCCACATCACTTCCTGTCACACTTTAGAACAAAAAATGAGGAAGAAAAATAAAATAAAACAAAGAAATAGAATCAACAATTAATAACCTGCAAATAAACTCTGTAAATAATACAGAAAATATACATTTAGGAATCAACTCATAAACTTTTTAGTGCATTTTATATATATATATATATATATATATATATATATATATATATATATATATATATATATATATACACATTAATGTTTAAAACAAAAAAAAACGAATAACAGCTGATTCTGATGCCAAAATTGATCAATCGTGCATCCATAGAAGTACAATTTTCAATTCCATCCATCCAGAAAAACATGAATATGCTGCATTTTAAATATATCATAGTATATTTTTTTTCTCGTAAACTTTGTGGTAAACTTGGAAAATATATTTTATTACATGTTGCATATCCCAGTAAATCTGTTTCCCCTTTAAATCTGCAGCTCTCCCTGCTTCTCTCTGTTTAAAAAGATTTATGAACCTCTTTCCTAATATAATGATGCCAGGAACTAGATTTCCAGATCTGTAGAAGCTCTGCAGCCTGATTCTATCTGTTTATTTTTAACCTGTAACTGTGAGTCATGGTCCTCTGAGAAGAAAAGCCATTTTTTAACTGGTAAAGAAGAACAAACTGTTTTCTTCAGCTTCTTCATTATAATAATAACTTGTATAAACTTATAATCTGTTGCTGTTTTTAGCTGAAAAAGCTCCGTATGTCTAACTCACAGATTCTTCTTTGGCTTCTTAAATTTTTTTCATAAACCCGTCTCCTAACTTTTGCTTAAACATCAAAGGACCTCCTGTTTAATGCTGCTGTGCGTCTCTCCTCCTTTAATCATGTAGCTGCTCTATACGCAGTGAAATGAGACCGTAGATCAGATGTCTCAAAGCCACAGATCTGATGATGTCACACCGAGAGGCGGGACACGGTTAGCGGCAGCAGTCACTGTTGGCCGAAGTACGTGAGCAGACTGTGGGGACATGTCCACAGCAGTGGACCAGCTGTCCTCCTCCTTTACACCATATTTGCACCGGTATCACTACCAGTGAAAAGCCACAGTATGATGCCACCTCTACCGTGCCGGACAGTTGGTGCAGCGTCCTCATCTTGGAGACACTTCTTGACTTTTTGCCCAAACACCTTCATCTTAGTGTCGTTTGAGCTTCAGCCTCAGCGGCTTGAAGGTCTAGCTTTAGAGTCGGAGCTTCTTTCTCCTCTCAGTTGATGGTGAAGTAAACTCTGAGCCTCAGTCTGGTACTAAACTATGAGTCTGTTGGTTCCTGAACATCTCTACCAGCTTCCTTCCATCTCAGGAGGAGCCTTCAGCTCAGGGTTTCTGACTCGTCTCTGTCGTCCTTCACAGATCGCTCCGGGATCGAGAACCTTTCGTCTGTGGAGCTTCTCCAGGAGAACCTGATCCGAGCGCTCCGCGGTTTGGTCAACAAGTCGACCGGCGGGGGCGACGGCGTCCACCCCTACATGGACTCACCGCGGTTCACCAAACTGCTGCTGCGGCTGCCGGACCTGCGCACGCTCAACAACATGCACTCAGAGAAGCTGCTGTCCTTCCGCATCGACCCCTGACGACCTCACATGGCGTCCCCGTATCGAAGGCATGCTCCCCGCCAAATTAAGAGTCTGCTTTGTCAGCTGCTCCTAAGGAGAAACTACTCTGATTCCCACTTCCTGTTGGGAAGTCATCATCCTTGATGGCGCTCCACAATAAACCTCCAGATTTCCTCTATAAAGGGAGGGGGAGCAGAACGGAGACAAAAATCCTGAACTTTCCAAACCTGCTGAACTTTACGGCAGACTGGCAGCAGCGGCGGATCCAGAAGCTCTGCAGACTCTGACTGCATCAGAACTTCCTGCACAAAGTGCTTAAAGACAAACATCCAGGTCTTCCTGACGGTTCCTGAGGGATCCGCTCAATCCTGGTTCAGCTCTCTGCCTCGTCGACACCAGCAGCCAATAGTGAGGATGCTGCATTGACGGACAGCTCCGTGGACCAATGAGACGGCTGGATGCAGAGGGCTGCTGATCTTCAGCCTGAAACCTGTAAATAACATCCAGTCATACTTGAAGTGTTGATATTTGTTACTCGTTTGTGTTCTGAATAAAATACTGTATGAATTTGAATAATATGGATATTATTATTAAAGAGTGGTGCACAAAGCTTTTGTTCAGCAAGAAAATCTTTGTATATCTGTATTTTAATCTGTTTTAAAGACTGTTTATGTAATACTATAAATTCTAACTGAAGATGCTGATCTGTGGCTCCTTTCCTGTTTTTACCGTTTCACCTGAAATCAGAGCAGCTCTCAACGTTTTATTACTTTTAGCTCATGAAAATAAGTTTTAAAGAAAACTCAGATCTGCAGTTAAACCAAATTACTGATCATAGATGATGAAATAAAACAGGATTAAAAAATAAAAGAGATAAAGCTTAATACAGAGCTGTGAGGAGACAAACAGCGACCCTTGCTGGCAGCTATACAGATTAAAATAAGGAAAAAGGTATTTAAGAAATAAAGGGAAAAATGTGTTTTCTTTTTTCAGATGTTGCTCTTTCTAATGTGCAAAATGTGATTCTAAACTAAACAATTGAATGTAAACCAATAAAATTCCATTAATTAATTGGTGTAAAGCTTTTTTATTGCAACTGTTAAACGTAAAAATGGGAAACATGAACACAGAAGGTCTACGGTGGAAATATCTAATAAACCTCATTAATCCAGACATATAAAAAAAAAAAACATGAGCACAGATGTTTAAATTTATTATTTATATATTATCTATTTCATAGCAAAGGCTGTAGGAAAGTAAAGTTTATCTTCATTTTAAAAATATGGAAGTTGTTTGTTAATTCTTCTTTTGGTACAGGGTAGATTTGACCCTGAGGTTCTGGTGCCTATCCACTTTCGGCCCCCCTCAGTGTAAATTTTTTGCCTGGCCACCCTTATAAAAACTTTCTTTCTGCGCCTCTGGGCAGGGGCGGATTTAGGAAATTTGGGGCCCCTAAGCAAAGACAAGTGGGGGGCATCAAACAGACCCATTCTATATAACATGAGCTGCCTGTTGCCTGTGTCAGAACTGATGTTAAGGATAAGGAATAGTTTTATGGGGCCCCCAGGAATTTGGGGCCCTGAGCAGCTCTTTAGTTTAAGACATACTGTATATGGAGACATGAGGATATTAGCAAACTTTTTAGTCTTTAATGGTTTTTATTCTATTTTTTAAAGAAATTAATTAAAAGTATCTGTTAAAGTTGATAAAATAAACACTGAGCTGCAGCCCTTTTATTATTTATTCTGTTTGGATCAAAGTCGACATGAACATGAAGCTGGTGTCAAAGAGGAGCAGTCAGAGGTTCACAGGTTTAAGGTCCGGCACGACACAGACGGTCCCAGGAAGAGCAGGACAGGACCAGACCGGACCGGATCGGTTCAGATCAGAGGACTGGTGCTGAGGAAAACCAGCCAGTTGGTCAGGGAGGGGTTAGCAGTGTGAGGCTGAAACACAGACAGACAGAAACGGTTAAAAACCTTCTCTGCCAGTAGAACCAAACCGCAGACTCCTCCCTCTGGCTCGGCCTGCAGCCAATCAGAAACTGCAGCCGGCTGTGAGGTGATGGAGGATGGGAGTCCATCACCTTGAGTGCCGCCGTGTCCACGGGATGTCCGTCCCGCCGTACGCAGCGCAGCACAGCTCGTCCGTGTCTCGGGTAGCCCTCCTCCACCTCCAGGTGACACACCAGCGACGCAGACTTCAGGTAGACCAGCAGCCGCTGGGCGGGGCACCAGTCGATGGCGTAGCTGCAACAGAGAGGCGCCAAGTTAGAGCTGCCTGCTGCTGAGGAGGCAGCTCTAACCGGACCAATTGGAACCATCAGAAGCGTTAGGACCCAAGTGGACGGGGCCTCACCAGGACCTCAGCGACTGTATCTCACAGAGCAGCTCCGCCTGCCCCCGGTAGCCCTTAAGGACAGCCAGCAGCTGCGTGCTCAGCTCGCTCCAGGAGCCCGACCCGCAGCCCTCCACCAAGCCGGCTGCCTGCTCGTCTACCTGTGGACCCAGAGGGCGGAGCATGATACAGGAACAGGAAGTGACATCATCACTGTGATTTGCAGTCGTAGTGTTTCTCCCCTACCTGCAGGAGGAAGCGGTCGTCGTGGCGCCAGCTGACCGACAGCCTCAGCGGCTCGAGCTCATTGGACGAAGGATCGGAGGGGAAGCGTGGCCTGATCTCTACCAACATCTCTGATTGGTTAAAGGAGATGAGCCTGATCTCCATCACTTCCTGCTTGGCAACGACGTGTTCCTGCAGCCTATCAGGAGCCAGAGAGGAGTTACCAGCCAATCAGAGCGCTGCCTCGGCAGACATGTGACCTGACTGCACTCACGTGTCTCTAAACTGCTGCCATGAGAGGAGCTGACCGAGCGCCGCCGCCGCCTCGCCTCTCAGCTGCTTCAGCTGCTGATCACATGACAGCAAAGCATTCTGGGCCTTCAGCAGCGACACCGCCAGCTGCTCCCGCTGTCGCCGCTGGAGCAGGAGATGAGAGGAGGGCAAGGAGGTGAGGAGAGGAGAGGCAAGGAGAGGTGAGGAGGAGAGGCGAGCAGGAGAGGTGGTGAGGAGAATAGGAGACGAGATGAGGAGGCGAGGTGAGGAGAGGAGAGGTGGAGAGATGGTGAGGAGGAGCGGTGTGAGGCTCACCTTGCTGTGCAGAAGCTGCAGGAGCTGAGTCAGCCTGCGTCTCCTGCTGCTGATCTGCTGGAGTCGCTCCTGCAGGGATCTGAGCAGCTCCTCCGTCTCCTCCATCCCAGAGCTAAGCTCCGCCTTCAGAGCCTTCCACCTGCTGCGAGCGCCGACCTCTGACACACAAAGACGAGCAAACACACACACCTGTGTTGGTGAGACGCCGCTGAAGGTCGACCCAATGATCATTGTTCCAGACGAGCGGCTCAGCTTACAGCTGATTGATCAACCTTTAAACTGCATGACTGGAAAATAATCCTGCAGGAGACCAGCCTCCTAAAGCAGGCTGATGAAAGCAGGCTGACGACATCAGCTCAGCTTAACGAATGTAGGATGATGACATCAGCTTAATGAAAGCAGGCTGACGACATCAGCTCAGCTTAACGAATGTAGGATGATGACATCAGCTTAATGAAAGCAGGCTGATGACATCAGCTCAGCTTAACGAATGTAGGATGATGACATCAGCTTAATGAAAGCAGGCTGACGACATCAGCTCAGCTTAACGAATGTAGGATGATGACATCAGCTTAATGAAAGCAGGCTGATGACATCAGCTCAGCTTAACGAATGTAGGATGATGACATCAGCTTAATGAAAGCAGGCTGATGACATCAGCTCAGCTTAACGAATGTAGGATGATGACATCAGCTTAATGAAAGCAGGCTGATGACATCAGCTCAGCTTAACGAAAGCAGGCTGATGACATCAGCTCAGCTTAACGAATGTAGGCTGATGACATCAGCTTAACGAAAGCAGGCTGATGACATCAGCTCAGCTTAACGAAAGCAGGCTGATGACATCAGCTCAGCTTAACGAATGTAGGATGATGACATCAGCTTAATGAAAGCAGGCTGATGACATTAGCTCAGCTTAACGAATGTAGGCTGATGACATCAGCTTAATGAAAGCAGGTTGATGACATCAGCTCAGCTTAACGAATGTAGGATGATGACATCAGCTTAATGAAAGCAGGCTGATGACATCAGCTTAATGAAAGCAGGCTGATGACATCAGCTTCATGAAACCAGCCTGATGACATCAGCTTCATGAAACCAGCCTGATGAAAGCAGGCTGATGACATCAGCTTAATGCAAGCAGGCTGACGACATCATCTTAATTTAAGCAGGCTGACATCAGCTTAATGAAAGCAGGCTGAGGACATCAGCTCAGCTTAACGAATGTAGGCTGACGACATCAGCTTAATGAAAACAGGCTGACATCAGCTTAATGAAAGCAGGCCAATGAAAGCAGGCTGACGACATCAGCTCAGCTTAACGAATGTAGGCTGATGACATCAGCTTAATGAAAGCAGGCTGATGACATCAGCTCAGCTTAACGAATGTAGGCTGATGATATCAGCTTAATGAAAGCAGGCTGATGACATCAGCTTAATGAAAGCAGGCTGATGACATCAGCTTAATGAAAGCAGGCTGATGACATCAGCTTAATGAAAGCAGGCTGATGACATCAGCTTAATGAAAGCAGGTTGATGACAGCTCAGCTTAATGAAAGCAGGCTGATGACATCAGCTTAATGAAAGCAGGCTGATGAAATCAGCTCAGCTTAATGAAAGCAGGCTGATGACATCAGCTTAATGAAAGCAGGCTGATGACATCAGCTTAAAGGAATAATAAAAACAAACATTTTTATTTCATTATTTACTCACTCATCTGACACAACACTGTGATAACCCTTTTTTGTTTATTTGCAAATGCTCTGGAGATCCTCGCACTGATTATCTTACTCATGAACATCAAAATAATGGAGGTTTCAGCAGCGCACCATGGAGAAGAAAGGTCCATATAGTCAAAAAAAGCGTTCAATATTCCTTCCTATGCTTCAAATCTTTAATCCTGTTTCCTGACGGTAAAACAAAATTTCCCAATCAAACTGGAAGGTATTTAGAATACGTTGTTAGAGCATAAACAGTCTGTATAGGAAATTCTAATAGGCCCCATCTTACACATTTTTATTGCAAGTCACGACAGAACCAATCTCGGAGTAATGGAAGTGATTCAGATATTTCTGCCGATAATGCAAGCTTAGAATAATGGATGTTTTTGTTTTTACCACTTCCAACAGAAAGAAACAACGAAAGAAAAATGTTTGATTCATAGTATTGATAAAAATGAGTTTTGCCGACTAACACTGTATATATATCTCCCGCTATGTAAAATAACTAGCCTATGGTCAATAATTCGAAATACTTATACACCTGTGATTATAGCTCTAACTACAAGTTTAAAATGACTTGTTTGAGTAAAATTCGGGAATGTTCAAACCCACCAGACCTGGATTTACATTATCAGCAATATGGAGAATATTATTTGTGGTTTTGACTTCTGTCTGGGCGTGCTAGAATTCCATGATTAAAATGCAAGAAGGGAAAATTCTTTGCCAATCTATCAGATGCATTTGAGATATCAAAAAGTACTCCAGAGTGTTGTTCAGCATGGAGGTGAGTAGAAAATGAAGGCTAATCATGTTTTGGGTGTACTATTCCTTTAATGAAAGCAGGCTGATGAAATCAGCTCAGCTTAATGAAAGTAGGGTGATGACATCGGCTTAATGAAACCAGGCTGATGACATCAGATTAATGAAAGCAGGCTGATGAAAGCAGCTTAAGTTTTAAGGCCGATACAGGCCGATACAGATAGGGGGCCGATTATATCGTGCATCCCTAGTTTTTTTATGTGAATAAAAATATTCCCATGTCTTTATTTATTTATTTTTTTTTGTTCATCCCCGTCGGATCTAAACTGGATTCAAACACCAAATGTTTTTCTGGGCTTAGAAACGTTTGCATCATGAAAACCTGGATGGTGCGGCAGGTACCTGGCTGCGGGGGGCAGGGCTGTGTCATCAGTTGCTGGGCAGATTCCAGGCCCTCCAGAAGCGACACCATGGAGTCCAGAACAAACAGCTGACGCCACAGAATCTTCTGCACACGCCGACTCTCCTACACACATTCATGGAAACATGGTTAAAACAGTTAAGCTTATTTTAGTTCAGACTATCAAACTGCTTGTTACGGTAACCTGTTAGGGCCAAACTGCTGTGTAATTACTGAAAAACATGTGAGACGTCCCACTAACCAACGACAAGCAACCGACATTCTTATCAACTCTTATTACAATAATAATAAAAACAACATTGTTTATTATCATTATATTGGATATTACTGCCACACAACAACAAGAGTGATAACTTGCTTTTGTTGCTGTTTTTGGAGATGCTGCTGGATAGACATCCTCCCACTGAATTTATCATTAAACTCAGAACCACAAAAATATGATGGAGGAAAATATTCAGCAGCGTCACCATGGAGATGAAGTTTGCTTCCAATTAGGGAAATGAGATGAAGTGCGATTCCACTTAGTTTTTCCATGCCTTCAGAATCTTTAATCTGTTCTACCGGTAAATAAAAAAAACTACAACACATCTCCCAATCAAACCTGGACTAGGTTATTCTAAAATACTTGTAGAACAATTAAAAACAGGTCTCTCATTTGTGAAACTTCAATAAAGGCCGATTTTAACTCTTTTTTTATTGTCAATGTCACACTAGACACCTAATCTCTTGGAGTTTTAATGCTGTATAAGATTGATAAAAATATTATGCTGCTGCAACTACTACTGCTTACAATTATTATTGGATGTTTTTTTGTTTTTTTAAGAAACAAGCACTTCCCACTACCAGCAATAACATTATGTCCTGTTCTTATAAAATTAATGTTTTATTTCAATAATATTGATAAAAATATGTATATTATACACTATTATATATACTAATGCTACTGCTTATAAAAATAACTAACATATATATCAAATAAATGTTTCTGAAAATAACTTCTCACAACCTGTGGATCTATCAGCAATACCATAATCTGTACAAGTGTTAAAATCTGCCTTTATTGAAGTTTCACAAATCAGGGAAATGTTTCAAAAATCCCAGACCTGGTTTGAATTATTCCACCAATAGTTGAGAATAATCTAGTCCAGGTTTGATGTGTCTTGGCGTTGTAGTTTTTAAATTAGAGCAGATTAAAAATGCTGAAGGAAGGCAAAACACATTTTCGATTCGGAAGCCAACTTCAGTATCGTAGCGTTACCATGGAGATGAGCTCACATCTTTAATCTCACATTTCCTGGACTGGGAAAAAAAATATTTTATAAGATCTGAGGTATTTTTGAAAGGCTTTGGTTAAAATGTGTAAATATTCAGGAAATAAAAAAAAAACAGATAAGAGTCTGTCTCATGTTGGTTTGATCCTTTAAAAGGAATAAAATAAACTCTGACATGTTTAGAGCCATCAGGCTTTCAGCAAACACAGCGGGAGGAAGAAGGAACTGACCGTGAGAAACAGAACCACCCCTAAAGCCTCCGAACAGTCCGGTTCGGACTCATCGCAGGGCTCCAACAGAACCGGGTCACAGCGCTGCAGAACTCTGTCCGACAAACAGAACCAAACAGGCGGATTAAAACAACACTTTTAATGGTTCGGCTCCTTTAAAGTCACGTTTTAAGACAGCTAGAATGTTTAAGGACATAGAATAATGTTTAAACCTGAGAGGAAACTTACTCTCGGACCTTCGCCATTTTTGTTTTCAAATCTCCGCGCCTCCTCCTCCTTCTTCTTCTTCTGCTGTTTAATGGTGGACGGTACATTTGAATGCGAATTACCGCCACCTACTGGTATGGATTGTGGGACAAAATGACAGTATTCTAACCACTGATTATGGAGAGCCATTTCAGCCAAAATTAAATAAATAAATAAATGGGTGAAATAAATAAAAAATGAGTAAAATAAATCAAAAATGAAGAAAATGAGTGAAATAAATAAAAAATGTGTTAAATAAATAATTTAGCTTTTTCATTAAACCAATTTTTAATGTATTTATTTTTCAGATTATCTATTTCTCAATTTCTGTTTTATCTATTTTTATCTTTTTTTTTTACCCATTTTTCATTAATCTATTTTTTAATTTAACCATTTTTCAATTTCCTTTTTCCATTAACCCGATTTTCTATTTCCCTGTTTCATTAATCAATTTCTCATATATCCCTTTTTTTACTTACCCATTTTCTTTTATCTATTTTTCATTTACGCAAGTGCGCATTCATAAGAATCTGGTTTGGTCTGCCGCGGTTTCCGTAGACTCGTGAACGCGCTTTTAGGAAATCCTATACACTACTGTCTATGCTCTAAAAACATTCTAAATGACTTCGTTTCGAGTAAATTCTGGATGCTACCCACTCAGGACACTTGGAATACATTGGACGAGCAGTATGGAGGAATATTGACACGTTTTTTGTGGACTTTTATGGACCTTTCTGCCTCGGGCGCCATAGACCTCCATTATTTGAATGTCAACAGACAGCAAGAAGCCTCCCAGATCTCCAGATGCATTTGAGATATCAAAAAAGTACTCTAGAGTGTTGTTCAGCATGGGGGTGAGTAGAAAATGAAGGCTAATCATGTTTTGGGTGTACTATTCCTTTAAGGCCGCATAACAAGGAGTCTTGGAATCTGAATCTGGCCTTCTAAGGACGCAGACCATCAATTCGAACAGAGCCGCTGACTAGCCCACCCTGCTCCCTGGGCGCCGCACAATGGTAGCCTCTTGCTCCCCAAAGGATGGTTAAATGATAATTTCTAATGTGAGATCAATAAAGTTCAATTATTATATTAGAAACAAAAACGGCTGCAGAAAAAAAGAAGTTAAACTCATAAGTTATAATGGAGATGAATGATAAAATTAAAGTAGAATGAAACAAAAATCACCAAGAAACATTCAAATACTGAATAAAAAATAAATGCAGATGAAAGTAATTAACTAAACTATGGACATGTTTCAAATATGTATGTAACGAATACAGAGGAAATAAAAAAATACGAAATTACTGCAGAAAAAATAGTATTTATAAAGCAACAGGAGAAACTGAATTAAAAGAAAAGCAGTTAAAATACATGCAAAGTGCCGTTATCATGGGGAGCTGCAGAAATAAATAAAACATTAAAAAAGCAGCAGCTCTGATCACGTGACCCGCGTCACCGCAGCGCTGAAGCTAACGGTCCACGGAGCTAGCGGGGTTCTGCAGCATCCGAACCGAACCGAGACCCAGTTTGGGCCGCTGTGGCCAGTCAGCACAGACCCACCGCTGGGAGGATGAGCTAACCGGTGTAAAGGCTCTCAGGTAGGAAGAGGCAGCCTCAGCGGAGCGGGATGTGGCGGGGATGCTGCGGTTAGCAGGCGGGGCTAACGGTGGAGCTAGCTGCCCGGGGATGCTGCGATTAGCAGGCGGGGCTAACGGTGGAGCTAGCTGCTCAGGGATGCTGACAGGTTCTGGGTATCTGGAGCAAGCAGTGGGCGGTTCTTTAGGGTTTTGATCTGGATCAGGAGGTTTTTAATGTGAAATGTTTATCATTAGCTCATCATTTATGTCAACATGTTAGCTTAGCATCTTCGGTGGATTCAGGCCCACTTTAGCTAGACTAGCCCTGCTAAACGATCATGAAATGAGCTGATCAGAAACTGGAACCAGAGAAGGATGCCTGGCGGTTCTGATTCTGTTCTGTTTGGGTTCTAATCCGGGTTTACTGACTCGGTTTCAATTGGTTCGGCTGCTGAAAGAGTGTTTTTGTCCCAGTTTTTATCATCTGCCAGCCATGAAACGGATTTTATAAGTGGACCAGGTTCGGTTTGAACACGGTGAAGGTGGGACATGGTTCTGATCGGTACCGGGGGGACATGTCCCGGTGTGAAATGTTTTCCTATTCCCGATTAACCAATTAAGATAATTCAATAAATTGCTCCATATTTTAACTGGTAGTTTTTGGTCTGAGTTGGACTGTTGGACGGTTCCTCTGATGGATCAGTAGCAGAACCTTTGGTTGACCAGGGTTCCTCTGATGGATCAGTAGCAGAACCTTTGGTTTTCCAGGGTTCTGCTGTTGGATCAGTAGCAGAACCTTTGGTTTTCCAGGGTTCTGCTGATGGATCAGTAACAGAACCTTTTGTTTTCCAGGGTTCTGCTGATGGATCAGTAACAGAACCTTTTGTTTTCCAGGGTTCTGCTGATGGATCAGTAACAGAACCTTTTGTTTTCCAGGGTTCTGCTGATGGATCAGTAACAGAACCTTTTGTTTTCCAGGGTTCTGCTGATGGATCAGTAACAGAGCCTTTTGTTTTCCAGGGTTCTGCTGATGGATCAGTAACAGAACCTTTGGTTTACCAGGGTTCTGCTGATGGATCAGTAACAGAACCTTTGGTTTTCCAGGGTTCTGCTGATGGATCAGTAACAGAACCTTTGGTTTTCCAGGGTTCTGCTGATGGATCAGTAACAGAACCTTTGGCTTTCCAGGGTTCTGCTGATCCATCAGTAACAGAACCTTTGGTTTTCCAGGGTTCTGCTGATGGATCAGTAACAGAACCTTTGGTTTTCCAGGGTTCTGCTGATCCATCAGTAACAGAACCTTTGGTTTTCCAGGGTTCTGCTGATCCATCAGTAACAGAACCTTTGGTTTTCCAGGGTTCCGCTGATGGATCAGTAACAGAACCTTTGTTTTCCAGGGTTCTGCTGATGGATCAGTAACAGAACCTTTGGTTTACCAGGGTTCTGCTGATGGACCAATAACAGAACCTTTGGTTTTCCAGGGTTCCTCTGATGGATCAGTAACAGAACCTTTTATTTTCCAGGGTTCTGCTGATGGATCAGTAACAGAACCTTTTGTTTTCCAGGGTTCTGCTGATGGATCAGTAACAGAACCTTTTGTTTTCCAGGGTTCTGCTGATGGATCAGTAACAGAACCTTTTGTTTTCCATGGTTCTGCTGATGGATCAGTAACAGAACCTTTTGTTTTCCAGGGTTCTGCTGATCCATCAGTAACAGAACCTTTTGTTTTCCAGGGTTCTGCTGATGGATCAGTAACAGAACCTTTTGTTTTCCAGGGTTCTGCTGATGGATCAGTAACAGAACCTTTTGTTTTCCAGGGTTCTGCTGATCCATCAGTAACAGAACCTTTTGTTTTCCAGGGTTCTGCTGATGGATCAGTAACAGAACCTTTTGTTTTTCAGGGTTCTGCTGATGGATCAGTAACAGAACCTTTTGTTTTCCAGGGTTCTACTGATGGATCAGTAACAGAACCTTTTGTTTTCCAGGGTTCTGCTGATCCATCAGTAACAGAACCTTTTGTTTTCCAGGGTTCTGCTGATGGATCAGTAACAGAACCTTTTGTTTTCCAGGGTTCTGCTGATGGATCAGTAACAGAACCTTTTGTTTTCCAGGGTTCTGCTGATGGATCAGTAACAGAACCTTTTGTTTTCCAGGGTTCTGCTGATGGATCAGTAACAGAGCCTTTTGTTTTCCAGGGTTCAGGCGTTGTCAGCAGTAGGATGCCCATCCCTCCTCCTCCTCCCCCAGGGGGACCCCCTCCTCCCCCTACATTTGCTCAGGTGAGATCTTTGCTCCTCTCTTTCATGTCTGAGGCGTTCGGGGGAACCTCAAACAGAAGTCACCAACTGTCTCCTCCTCCCTCAGGCTAATACCACTCCTCCCAAGCTGAGCAGGGAGGAGGTCAAAGGTCGCGGCGCCCTGCTGTCGGACATCTGTAAAGGCACCAAACTGAAGAAGGTGGCGGTGGTGAATGACCGCAGCGCTCCTCTGCTCGACAGTAAGACTCAAACGCCAAAGAGCCCCACACCTCCCACAGAGCACCCATACATTCGCTTATACCAGTACCTAAACCAGCCCAAACAGCAGGGGGCGCTGTCTGAGGAGGCCAGGAGGAAGGCTGGAGGACCGAGCTCCTCTCCATCCCTCGACAGTAAGACCTCTGTGTTCTCAGGTAGTCTAGACCTGCTGCAGGAGGCTGTGTTCAGGTTCAATCAGCCGCTAAGGTCCCTGTCCACAGACAGGCGGAGGGCGGGGGGTTTAAACTTTCTAAGGCCCCGTCCACACGAAGACGAACCCTGGCCTAAACGCACAAATTTTTCACCAAACCAGCCTCTCATCCACACGAAGCCGGCGTTTCGGGGGTCTGTAAACGATCTTTTTTTTATTCAGCCTTCAGAGTGGGAAGATTTCGAAACGCCGTTTTCGCGTTTCCATCTTTACGCCCTAACCGCATATTTTTTTTACACGCATGCGTCATAGCGTCGCCTCTAAACACGCATGCGCGACACATCACAACAACAATGGCGCCGTTGCTGCTAATGCTACTCACCCTGCTGTCGGGCTTACAACAGAATCTTCTTCTTCTGGAATATCTCCAGGAAGAACAGAGCAATATCGACCACATAGTTCAGCACCTGAATTTGACTGAACCACGAAAATGGACCCGCAGGGCAACCGTGTATAAATATTGGTGCGCATGCCCAACATTTCGTCGCTTATTTTTGCTTTGGCACCACAGCGCCACTTACAGGCCTGGCATACATTTTGCAGCGTTTTCATGCATTCGTGTGGACGCTCACATTTATTTTACGTCTCCGTCTTTACGGCAAACGTTTTGGAAAATATCAGCGTTTCGTGTTCGTTTTGACTTCGTGTGGACGGGGCCTAAGACCTTCCGCCCAATCACAGTGCAGGTGGTGTTTCCATAGTGACAGGGGCAGCAGATCAGACGTGCAGACCTAGACACCTTCAGCTTAGACCACAGCCTGACTCCCCCGACACGTCATCAGACCTTAACTCTTAGTGATGGTGGGATGAAGCCTCATCAAA